GCAAATGAATGAATATGAGCGTCAGGAACGGTCGTCCATTTGTGGGCGGGCGGGCGTGGCGGGCGTTTGGGACGTAAAGTTGCCCCCTCCTCCTCCTCATCACCGTCCCCTTTCTCCCACGTTCGACGACATTTTTGAGTTTTTTTTTATTCTGGAAAAACTCTTGAATTATTGGAAGAGTGGTGGGAAGCTAGGAAAGTTAAGGAATGTGGTAGGTAGAAAGTCGTAGGAAGGGGGTCGTACCAAAGAAGGAGATTTCAAGGGAGACGTATTTTGCAGAAATTTCCTCTCAGCGACGTGCTGTTTTTCTAGAATATGCACTCCACATCCCTGAGAGACGCAGTAGGCGTGGATGCGTACTTCACTTAATCATGGCTAGGATGGGTTTTCGCCGAATATTCCCATATGAGACAACTGCCGTCCTCTAAAAGTGGACAAAAACGTGTGTCTCAAAACAGCAATATCCTACCACTAAAAGAACATTCGCTGTCGTTTTGGCCACACCCTTCCCATCTCTGGGGTATGGATTGTGCCTAGGTTATGTGGCAAGAGAATCGTAATTCGCCGCGCCAGTGGGCGTCGCGTGCGACGTCGCGCCCGCTAATGACGACGATTTTAGGTGGTATTGGTCGAGAATAGACAATGTATGGTCAAAATAGACATAAGTGCTAACAAAAATAGTCTAACATGTCCTTATCTACATGAAATCCGATGCTCTGATCGAAATGGTAGAGCAAATTGAGGAAACGCGCGATTGTCGCGCGCGACGAAGCGGCAGTGTACGATTCTCTTGCCCGTCCCCCCTGTGCCTAGGCTCGTGCCAAAGCAGGACCCGAGGGCCGACGATATCCGATAATCGCATAGTCTTTCGTACATATCTCTATCAAACCAAACTAATGCCATTTTAGCGAACCTGGCTGAATAGAATTGGAAGCTGTGAACCGAATGTTTGACCCACGGACCATAATTGTCCCGCCTTCAACCAAACTTTGGAGGTCTCAAAACTATGTAGAAAATACCATCACTAGGTATCCAGGACATACGAAGGACGCATCCCAGCAGCGGTACCTGTGCGTTTTTACCCGAACCGGAATATTTCCAATCACCAGTAATAACTCATGTGTGGCGAATGGTGAAAATCGAAAAATTCCGCCAATGTGGCGCTATTAAGTGATCGACAGGCGAGTCGAGGAATATTAATGGCGCACGTTACCGTCTGGAGAAATATGGCTTTTGACAGCGAGTATCGAGATTTTTCTGAAAATTCCTTCAACTTAAGTACCGAGGAACATGCCGGCGTTCTACCTCAATAGGGAGTGCACCTATTTCCAGAAAGAAAAATGAAAAGAAATATGCCACATAAAACCCTGCTCCCTTTCATGGTACGTTGTCGAACCTGAAGAATCAGTTCAGGCCAATAACAGGAAACATTGAAAAAGATTTGAAGACGACCGTGGCGCGATGCTCCTTGATAGGTGGAGGGGGGGGGGGCATATAGTGGACACAGAAAGTCGTGCAGGCTCTTCCTTACAAAGACTGCGAACTACTGGTAATAGTGCTCACTAGTACTGCTTCACAAAAGTTTACAGGTTTCACTGAGGAGAGACCTGTTAGTGAACATGAGCAAGCGAAGGGGCAAAGTGCCCCTCCCCCTGAGCCGAATAGCGCCCACGACGGCTACTCGGATGAGCAACTTTCAGTACTAACTAATTATTTCTGGAACGCTTGTTTCTGCTGTTAATCACTCGCTTCTACTATTTGTTAGGCGCTATTCGGCTTGGAGGGGGCATTCTGCAGGTTCGCTAGCTCCTTTTGTTTCTCGTGTGAAACCCGAACTTCTGTGAAGCTACGAAATGATACGAGTGAGCCACTTTTGACCCAGGGGTCTAGGGGCTTCACGAGGTGGCCTTTGCAGTCCTAGCTGTGAGACCTTCAGTGCCCCCTCCAAGCCGACCCACGCCTATTTTTAATCCTCAGTTTTCAGTGAAAGATAATGTGTTTCTATTCGGCATCGGAGATCTTGTTTTACTTTTTTTCCGTTACATTCCACGATGGTTGAGCGGGGAGATGGGCGGAGACTCGAAACCCTTATGCACTCTTTTTAGTATTCTATCAATTCCGAGACGGAAAGAATAGGAAAGGGTGCGCCAATGAGAAATATGAGATTACGAGTCCCCGCCCCTCGCCCAAATGGTCATCAGGAAGACTGTTTCCAACTATAAGGACATGTCAAAAAGCCTGTTGAAAGACCCTATACTTTCAGGTGGGAGGTGCGGTAGCAGTTGGTGAACAACCGATCAAAGGACTCATTTGTCCTGCGGCCGGAGCCCGGATGACCGTAGCGGAGACGTTGACCAATCTTCTCGCCGCTCCCATAACTGACATCAAGGTAAGCGGTACCGGTCCTGCCTGGACGAGGTATTACAGTAAGAACCGTTGTTTAGGACGTGAAAATGTCAGGCAACTGGATGTGGGCAGCCAAATGCGATGGCGAAGGAGCTCGACTAGTCGAGGCTTGTGATGCTCTTTGTGAGGTATGTCTTTCCAGTGTAAACTATTGTCGCGCGAATGTCAAGCGTTTTGACGCCAGACAAGCTCATAGCCATTAGCTAGCAGCTTCGACCTGCGCACGTGCAGGAGGAGGGGGGGCGGGCGGCAGGCGAGGCCAACGAACTTGGGTCCGAATAATACGTGGGTCAATTTGCAGCGAGGACCATAGCCGCGCTAAGTAAATCTAGTGGTCGTTTTCATGGTGGAAGCCACTACCCCCCTGGACGCAGTTTAGGCCAACTTGCACCCTTGAGGGGGACAAATTTCGGTGCAGTTTGGCTTTGTGTGGGCCACCAAATGGGTAATGCGCTGAGCTAGTGCAGGCTATTTTGGTTAAACCTGTAGATTCCTGTAACCAAAGTTGCTCACTTCTACCATCTTGCAGCTTCACAAGGGTTCACTGGTCTCAATATAGTGCAACCTGCTAATTAATATGAGCCAGTAAAAGTAACTAGCGATTGCGCAAAATGCCCCTTCCAAGCCATACAGCGCCATGGGAATTTCCATAGGAATCTCAACTAGCGATTCGGCAACTAGTATCGAAGTGGGTACAAATGTCAGTGAAATCGTTTATACCTACACCAGTCGGATCGCCCGGCTGTCGCCGGGCGCTCCTCCTTCTGTGACAGAAGGAGGAGCGCCATTATAGCGCCATCATTATTTAGCAGTAATCCTTTCTAGGTGATCCCAAATCGAATAAATTTATTTGAAAATGAAATTACCGCACCACTGCTATCGGAAAGTGAAGGTACTACTGTCCTTTACAGGCTCTTGCTGCTGTCGGATGTGCGATCGACGGTGGTAAAGATTCTCTCAGTATGGCAGCGAAGGTCGATGACGAGCTGGTGAAGGTAAGATACAGGCAAGCTCCTCCCCCAGCGAGAAGCCCACCCATACGTGGAAGTCATCATTTCAGGCTCCAGGTACTCTGGTTCTGTCCGCATATGCGCCATGCCCTGATGTTACAAAGGTGCTCACACCTGATTTCAAGGGACCGCGAGGTATGACATTCATCTCAAATGAATTGCACGGCATTTACAGGTTCTGCAAGAAGATTTGCAATTTTCGCTAATTGTAAGCTAGAAGTTGTAATTCCCAGGTGGCAACAACCCCACAAAGATCGTTTATGTTCGAATGGGGAGCTCGATGAAACACAATCGACTGGGTGGAACAGCTCTTGCTCAGGTTCTTCGCCAGGTGAGTTTACCTCTTAGAACACTTGTGAGCTGCCTTTAACTTTTTCGGTAGAATCTTTCATGGATTACAGTCGCTTAATCGGGACATTACTGTAGGCTGTAGTTCCTATAAAGAGTGCTGCTCAGGGCACGTTCAGTCGTTTTGCAAAGAATTCCGCAGAATGCGGCCACCCCCCCCCCTTCCCGTCCCAAATTGAGATGTTCTCAACAATGTACACAGGGCGTGAAACGAGAAAATCCAACAGCAACGAAACTTATCGGGTCAAATACGGCCCTGTTACATGCAGCCGCTTAATGTGACCCTCGCTGGGGATCCATAATGTACGAGGTGCCCTGGTGCGGCTCGTTCGCTGTTCGGCGACCGGGGTGGAGGAGGGCGGAGAGGAGCGGGGGGGGCGATTTTGCACTTTCTCACTGCTTGCCCTGTTTCAGGTTTTCGTTTCACGCTAGTCAAAACATTGGAAGCCTTGTTAAGCTAGAGTAGAGCCAGATTGAGCCATTGATCAAATCTTGCCAACACTGTGAGCTCGTCGAAATGCTCTCTGCGGTCCAGTAGAAAGTTCCCCCCCCTATCGCCCGAACTGGCCGTGCGGCTCCTTCACATCCACGTCTAGTCCAAGTGATCTTTCGCCTTTCGGGTCATTAATTTTGCCCGGAACTCAGTAACAGTCGGTGTCCTAACAGCATCAGCAATTATCTAATACAAGTTCTCAAGTCAATAGAGAGCCTTCTGCAGGTAGGGGACGAATCGCCAGATGTGGAAGACCTTGACATCGCTGGCTCGCACGTTCACGGCTATTCAGAAGATGATCACGGACGATTTGATTCTCTCAGGTGAGTTGCTTCTCAGTATCCTTGAGAGAATGGCTCCACTGGGCAGCTGCATAGAAGCGGCTCTCAAATCAGTTCGGGAATCGTTTTACCAACCTTCTACATGATCTTGGCGAGTGCTGGGGCGCATCCCACGTTGCTCATGTGGGCGGAGCCAGACCTAACATTGTGCCTCCTCAGTAGTGCACCCATACTTTCTAATACCGTAGACGAGCGCGGTAGCTAGCGACTGGACGGTAGGCTGCTCTGTCGGTAGACAAGTATGGGATGTGCCTTCAAATAAATTTTGCGTATTTTTGAACACCTCGGGGCAAATACGGTGGTTAGTCTGCCGAACAGAAATCTGACTTCAAAAGTTCTGGAGCCTTTCATTTTTCAGTCCATGATGTGTCCGATGGCGGCTTCATCACATCACTTCTGGAAATGTCGTTCGCTGGCAACATATCGATCAAAGTTGACATCAGCTGTGAATCAGGTGGATCTTTAGTCTATTCATTTGAATGTGAGCTATTTTTGAAGTCCATACGTGGTTCTAGAAACGATGTC